AACTAGCAGGGTTTTTATTGAGAATACAACAAGCTTTGGTTATTAGTAGCCAGGTGATTAGTTAATACTTAATACATATGAAGTGTAGGGTTTTGGTTGGCTAGGCTTTGGGGGTCGAAGGGGATTACGTATTGGTTTTTGTGAGGGAGAATGGTGCAAAGATTAATGGCCGATTGTCACATACTGATCGTTAGCAGACCCACTGACTAATGGCCGCATCTATCTTGTGTGGATAGTTAGCTCATTAACTGTTTATCTTATAGATAGTGTGCCTGGAACGCTCTTTCCCCGGGTACACAGGTGGTTGGGTAATAAACTCAGGAATTTTAAGTGGTGAATTCCTAGTTTAAGCACAAATTTGAGAGAACAAAGGAGACGGCTCCAAAATGGAGTCATTTTGGTCCCACAAGACTAAGAAGACTAAAATGACAGATTATCAACCAAGGTTAATGATGTCAACTATATACCCCTATTACTATTAGATCAATATTACCTAAGTGACTATACTTGTAATCTTATTGGTTGATTATAGTTTTTACTGATGTTGTACCCACCCCTTGTGACTTTGCTCTGTAAAACTTCTTTTGAGAAGTGGGCTTGTTGGCAACTCATTCAGGACCCCTCCTGTCTCTCAGGAGCTATTCTTATTCCACATTCCTATTCTCCAGTAAATTTTTCTACTCTTACCCTCTATTTTTCCTTAGAATTCTCTTCAGCTTTGGGGAATAGAACTCTGCATATTTTTACAAGTAAGAAACAAAGGAGCTTAGGAAGTGGCTCCCTTCCACCCATTTAATTCTAAACTGCACCCACTAGGCTGGGTGTGGTGGCACGTGGTTGTAAACCCTGCACTTGGGAGGCTGAGGTGGAAGGATTGCCAGGAGTTCAAGGCCTGCCTGGGCTACATAGTGAGACTCTGTCTCAAAAAAAATTGTATTTTAAACAGCACCCTAGGGCCATTCCTCCTTCCATTGTCCTTAGAGAGGTAGAGAATCATGTAACAAAAACCCAGGTAATCTCTGACTTTAGGCAAGAGCACTTGCACTGTTGAATCTCCTCTCCTGACCTAGCTCCAACCTTATTAAGTGTTCATGAATATGTACTACATCTCATGCGTGTAATTAAGATCAGAGTGAATTCTGGGACAGGCATGAATGTTGAGACTTCCTGAGATGACCCGTACCCTGTCATTCATTCCTATCAGTCATACCTGGAGACCCAGGGGAGCCCTTGGGCCGAGGTACATATCCTTTAAATTCCAAAAGCCTGATTTATCTGTGTGGTGTGTGCACTGCATTTGCTTTCTTGTTGCCCTGGCACCACTTTTCTGTTTTTGTCATGTTTTTGTCAGCCTGGACTTGACTGAGCTCAACTTCCTGTGATCTTCAATAAATATAGCTGCTCTTCACTTGCCTTCTGGTGTCCACTTGCACTTCATTGCTCATCATACACAGGAGCCTGGGTTTTACCTGCTGAATTCATCATGTGGTAGCAAAACTGTACTTGTGGTGTGAAACTCATTTTAAACAAGGTGGAAAGTGAGGGATTTTCTAGGGAAGTCTACCTTGGCAAAAGTGTCAGGTAAAAGGGCCGAAGACCAAGACCAGACCAGGCCACAACAAGCCTTTATTAGGGGAATAGATCTGCCGGGCTGTCTCTGAACAAAGGAGAGACAAAAGCCATATGGCCAGGGCAGGGAAAGTCTTTTATAGAGACTGGGGTGGGGTTTGTAGGAGCTGAGGTGGGGTTGAGTGAGGTAGTGATTTGGGAATGGAGGAGCTGGTAATGTCACTAGGTGGTAGGAGGTGAGCGAGTATTAGGTTACTCTCTAGGCAGGAACAGGGGCATGCTGGGAAGAAGGGTATGTTCTTTGGTGGGAGCAACCATCTTGGCATGACGTCACACAGGGGAGGGGGCAAGGCACCATAGGAAGAGGGCAGCTACTATACATAATAGCTGCTGAGGCAGTGGGAGACCTATCAAAAAGGGTAGAAATTTCTGGTAAAAACTGGTGCAGTCGAGCATCAGCAGCATGGCACAGCTATGCCCTCTCCCCAAATCAAGCACTTACTGTCTCTTAGTTATTCCACTGAAGTTCCACACAGCCACTGAATGCTGGAGTGGTAGGGCAAGCCCTTGAGATAATCTCTTGCCTGCTTTTCAGGAGCCCTTGTCTCCTGGTCTCTTACTTTCTAGGCTTGTGATCTCTCTTGATCTACAAGCCTTTGTGAAGCTGCATAAAGACACAGGTCCTATGGTGCTGTGGAGGCATGGGAAGAGGGGCTTGCACATTTTATTGATGGTTTACTGCATTCTGTTTGTCAGTATCTTATTGAAGATTTTTGCATCTATGTTCATTAGGGAGATTGTCCTGTAGTTCTCTTTTTATTTTATTTTATTTTTTTTGGTTCTGGGGATCGAGCTTGGGTCCTTCTGCTTGTGAGGCAGGCAGTGAAACCACTGAACTAAATCCCCTGCCCTTGTAGTTCTCTTTTTAAATTGGAGCCTTCTCTGGTTTTTGTATGAGAGTAACACTTGCTTCCAGAAATGACTTTGGGAGTACTGCTTCTCCTTCAATTTCATTAAAAAGTTTGCAAAGTAGTAGCATTAGGTCTCTAATATTTTGTAGAATTCATCAGTGAATCCATCAGGGCCTGGGGTTTCTTTGTTGGTAGATTTTTAATTGCATCTTCAATTTCACTGACTAGTATTGGTTTATTTAGAATTTTTATATCTTCTTGATTCAGCTTTGGTAATTCATATGTATCCAGGAATCTGCCCATCCCATTACCTGTGAGCAGGCATATAACAGACTGGATGTCATCTCCATTATCAGAGTGGCATTGTGCCAGCCCAGAATTCTCCCCTGTGGCAGGAGACTTTATATGGTGGATCAAACCCATGCTATTTATTCCTGTGAGTGGTTCTGAGCCATTTTGGAAGCATCCCATTAGCTGGGAGGGGCTGTAGGACAGACGTCATGCTGCCTCCATTACTGGAGTGGCAAGATGCCAGCCTGGACTCTTCCCCCATGGCAGGAGACTTTATATGGTGGATCCAACACATGCTATTTTTTTCCTATGAATGGTTCTGAGCCATTTCAGAAGCATCCCATTAGCTGGGAGTGGCAGTACAAAAGACCGGATGCTCCCTCCATTATGGGAGCAGAACGGTGCCAGCCCGGAATCCTCCCCCACGGCAATAGATGTGATATGGTGGATTGAACGCATGTTCTTTTTTCCTGTGAGTGCTTCTGAGCCATTT